CTCGTCAGGAGTTCAGTTGCCAGTGATAGGAAAATAAAACTTTCTGGCTGTTTTCTAAAAGTTTAAAACCGTCGAACTGGCTGCTGGTTATTTTATGGGAGCGAGTTATGGGTGTTGCAGTGTGTTTAGCGCCGGGGTAGCGGAGTTTTATTAGCGTTTCAAGTTTATTTCTTTGTCGGCGTGCTGCAGTGTTAAAACACTCTCATCGAGCCGCTTGACCAACCGGCGCTGTTCACAGCACGACTTGTCGTGACTAATCCCCCCACACAGCAGAAAACCCCTATAAGGCTTCAGGTTTTAGAGTTCTCTCACTCCTCTTATCCCTCTTTCATTGCACTCCTGTGATCGCATCCCCCATCTGTTCCTCAAGATTATTCTTTTTCATACTCGTCCTTTTACTGTCTGTCTCGATTACCTTGCCGCGCTTCAGCGTCCGCCCACGTTCTGCTTTCTCAAAAACTAAACATGTGCGCACATTAGCCAGGAAAGTTTTCCCTCTCTCCTTGTCTTGTTTTTCAAGGTCTCGTTGAGCAGCATGAAAAGCCCCAGAGGAATATCACGGGAGACGTGCGCTGAAATTTTAATCAGGAGGAAATGGGGCGGCACAATCTTGGTTCTTTTTAGTATAAATTTGCACAGATGGACTCTCGATGCTCGTCAGGTCGCCGTGTGACGCACTGGGAGTGTCTGGCTGTGATGGAGGGAAGAGGAGGGTCAGAGGAGTCAATGAGAAGGAGACAAGAGAAAGACGCTGAATGGGTTTTTATGTTGGACACCATTTCTCTGTCCAGGCGGAGGCCGGTCATTCATCACACAAACAGGCTGAAGGTTCTCTGTGAGTCTGGCTGACCCACATATTTGGATGCTGCGATGACTCAGAGGTACACAGACGAAAATCATAGGAAGACTCAGGATTGATCTGTTTGACCTGTAAAGTGAGGGTGAAACTTGTCAACAGGTTCCAAGCATTTGTATTTTATTAGTTGAAAGCAACAAATGTTAAGGTCAGTTATAAGTAACACTTTATATACGTGCATGTATCATCATGGCAGTCTTAAGTTTCCATTGACTCCTATATCTGTCAAAGACAAATGTGTTTCATTCACTACATCATAGAAAAATAATCACAAAAAACAATCATGCGTATTGGTTCTTTCATAAATGTATTATATAGTTTAAAACCATGCCTGCCTCCAAGCATGGAGGTGGCAGCATCATCCTCTGGGAGCTTTACACAAAGTCAATGGAACAATGAAGAAGGAGGATCACCTCCATGTTGTTCAGGAAAACCTAAAACCATCAGCAGAAGGTTGATCTTGGACACAGTTGGATGTTTCAACCAGACAATGAGCCCAAACACACATCAGAGTGGTGAAGAAATGGTTCAGTCAGGCTGGAATGAAGGTTCTAGACTGGTCTCCCCAAAGTCCTGACTTACAGTTGTGAGCAAAATTCTACATACGCCTCAAAAAACCACATATCTCACGGCAGCCCCGAGTTTCCATTTATTCTTACTGCTGTTAATTTTCTGTGATGGAATCCTTGAAACAGATGCGCCTTTGTCACAAGAAACAATCGTACATTTTTGTTCATTCATAAATTTATTATAGGGTTTTACTCTCAGAACACCAAACCTACCATCAAGCATGGAGGTGGCAGCATCATGCTCTGGTGCTGTTCTTCTGCCAGTGGAACTGGAGCTTTACACAAAGTAAATGGAACAATGATGGAGGAGGATTACCTTCACATTCTTCAGGAAAACCTAAAACCATCAGCAGAAGGTTGATCTTGGACACAGTTGGATGTTTCAACAAGACAATGAGCCCAAACACACATCAAAGTGGTGAAGAAATGGTTCAATCAGGCTGGAATGAAGATTCTAGACTGGTCGTCAAGTCTTTGTCATAAAAAAAACAACAACAATGTAGCATTTTGATTCTTTCATAAATGTATTATATAGTTTAACCCAACAACACCAAACCTACCATCAAGCATGGAGGTGGCAGCATCATGCTCTGTGGCAGTTCTGCTGCCAGTGGAACTTTACACAAAGTAAATGGAATAAGGGAAAATGAGAATTATCTCCACATTCTTCAGGAAAGCCTAAAATCATCAGTTAGAAGGCTGGTTTCTTGAGTCTATCTCCTGCACGTTATGAGACTCAAAAATGGCTATAAAAAAAAATAAGTAACGCAAACTTAAAAACGCAAAGTTTTGACCCACTTCTATGTACTTCAAGTGCCTGTAACTCTGAAAATATTCATATTATGAAGGTGGCTTTATTGAATATGCTAAAGTTATTGTCTTTTTTTTTAATGGCTAATTTGAAGGAGATTATTTAGATTTGATTGAATTTATATGATCCTGTTAAGAACTGTTCATCATAACGTGGCATCAACCTGAACCTGTAAAACTTTTATCATCAGATTAAAGAAGCTGGACAAAAATGTAAGAAGTGCCCACCATCTTTTTCTAAAAACCTGAGAAACACTAAACATACTTGTGCTTTTACTGAGAGTCCTCAAAGCAAACGTGTGTGCTCACATACTGTATGTCAGTTTGTTATTCAGGGTCACATCCCTCTAAGCCAGTGGTCTGATTAATAATTCATGCTATTTCATGCAGTCGGTGGTGCCATTTGTTTTTAAAGTGTTTCGCTAATTGCCTCCTCCCATCGAGCTAATTATTTCTCCATTGTGCTGTGATCCTGTAATTCATGACGCCGAGTCACTGAAAGTCGCTCGGTGTGCAGAATGCCTAAGTGGAGGAGGAAGCTGCAGCGTGTCTGCCTGTGCGGTCGCGTACGTAAAACCTCTGCAGAGTTGTGTGTCGCCGCATTGATATTCTCCTCACAGGGTTGTCAAGCATGAAATAGAAGAGTACACTTTTCTGTGGATAAACTCTCGGCAGAGCGCCGTTAGATAGCGAGAGCTGATGCTCTGGAGAAATCTCTTAGCTGACGCCGAAGTGCCAGGAAGGAAAATAAATGTTAAAAAAAATAAAAAATTTAAAAAAGAAGCTCATTGTGTGTGCGGCACTGTTGTGTAGCATCCAAATAGACTCTAAAGGTGCTGCTGCTGCTTTGCAAATGTTGGCTCGTTGTCTTTTCCATGCACCTTCCTATGAGGTGAGCAGGTTTCCAGATTCAGCTGCAGCAGATTTTCCAATTAATGGAAGGAGATTTCACAAATACAGACTCATTAATCAATCAGCAGTTTTAATAATAAATTAAAGCCGCAAGTGGCGATAGACGGGTCCTCGCCGTACGATTGTCGGCCTTCGCACACGTCGAGGTTGTGGCAGAAATGCGCTCCGGGCAAAGTGACAATCACCTAACCGTAACCCTTTTCTTACAAAACTCTAGTGCGGAGCGTTTTAATAACTTTTAATCACCATGTCCTGGAGGTTGTACTTGGCAAATTTCAGGTGTGTAAGACTTACCCTCTAGGAGGAGATAGTTTTGAAAATTGGCGATTTTCTGCCAAAATCCATAATTTTTTTCAAAATGGCCGACTTCCTGTTGAGTTTCAGGTATGTGTTCTTGAGACTTTTTTGTGAGTCTCGACATGTTACATGTGTGCAGAGTTTTGTGGCACTATGTGAAAGTGTGTTCAGGGGCACTTCTTTTGAAATTTTATAGGTGGCGCTGTTGAGCCATTTTTCTATTGAGGTGTGTATTTCCCCCTAATTATAAAATTTTTCGCCGGGTCTGATGTGTGTGCAAAGTTTTTTGCGTTTGCGAGTACGTTTCGGACCTCAAAAATGCATTTCTTTGTCACGAATAATAATAAACCCCTAGCAATTCCAATAGGGTCTTCGCACCCTTTTGGGTGCTCGGACCCTAAATATTGCCATTGGTGTGTGAATGTATGTGTGAATGGGTGAATGCGAAACACATTGTAAAGCGCCTTGGGTACCGCTAAGGTAGAAAAAGGCGCCATATAAGTGCAGACCATTTACCATTGAGATCCTGCTGATGGATTAATGGATGTTTGCTGCTAATAACTAATGATGATTACCAGTTAATCCTATTTTATCAGTTCAGTTATTGTCATGTGACCCAATAAAAAGGCAGCTGGGACGTTTAGTCTCCTGTAAATTTAAACGACAGCTATTTCGGTAATCGATTACTTGTGATTTTTCGATGGACATTTTCAGATTTCAGCTCCTTAAGCGTGAATATTTTTTGGTTTTCTTTCCTCCTCTGACAGAAAACTTGTCATCTTATCAACATGTTTAATCATTTTCTGACATTTCATAAACCAAACAAGTAATGAATTAATCAAGTTTAGATTTCAAGCAAAAGTAATTTTCTGATTCGCAGCTTCTTAAATGATTTTTTTCTGACAGTAAACTGAATTAGACGTCAACTTGGGAAACGGCGGTTGACATTTTCTCCATTTTCTGACCAAATTACAAATTAGCTGAAGCGAGAAAACAACGGACCGACTGATCAGCCATGGAAAAAAAATCAAGAATCAGACGCGTTTAAGGTCAGACGATCCATTTTGGTGCTGATTTGTGCTCATTTCTTTTGTTTTATTTGGCTCGAGTCTTAAATCTCAGACGCATGAATGTCTTTAAAAGCATCAGTAACTTAAGTTTCTCACATCCGAGGACTCCTGATGGCGACGGGAATAGATGTTTGCTGCTGATAACCAATCACAGACACCAGCTCATCATCTTTCATCACCAATGATCTGATTGAACGGCTAACGATGGTGCACTTTAGGGTTGAGCAGACTCTTAAATTAGAATATCTTCTGGTTTCTTTCCACTTTTCTGACAGTTTGTGCTACTTTCTTTTGTTTTTGCGACATTGCTTGTCAATTTAATCCTTATTGATGAGCAGCTTTTGAGTCTCGGATGTCTTTGAACGCATCATTTCGTTGCAGGAATGAAAACCAATCGTCTACTTGGGTTCCGTCACATATATCTGATTGCAGGTTCTTTGCATTGGAACCGAAGGATTCATGTTTCCGTGTTCTTATGTTCCCCAGGTGTTGAACCGGATCGGAAAAGACGCCCAGGTGGGACGCGACGGCGTTCGGAGGAAAGACTGGCATGATTACGAGGCGATCAAAAGAGATGCTTCTCGAGCTGGTAGGTCCAGAACCTCCTGGTATTTATTCCTACATGCTCAAAACAAATCAAAGAACAGATTTGATGCTCCGGATGGGCTGTAAATACGCGCTTTAAAACGTACTTCTGCTGTCGTAAATACAGTTTACGCCGTCTGAAATAATCACAGACTGAGTTTAATTTCGTGTTCGGGGAAATCAGCTTTTACACTCGCAGTTTAAAATGGGTTTATGGCTGAAATGAGCCATAAAAGGCCAAAAGTTATTTTCCACTCGTCGTTACCTTCGGGAGGAAAACAGGCTAATTTCTGCTTAATGAAACATGTGTGTCTGCCGATGATTAGAGCTGTTTTTGTTCTCTGGGTGGCTCTCCTTTAATGATTCTTTACAATGCGAGGCTGTAAAAATATGTTTCAAGCCGTTGGAGTTCAATCAGGAGAACAAGCTTTCATTTCTACAGACGGAACCGGACGGCGTGTTTTCATCTATTCTTCTGGTTCCTGTTTTCCAATTAAGGTGCAGGAAATGAAGGTTTGCTCGGAAAATTGTTCCGTTTTGAGCTTTAAATTAGGATCACAAGGTGCAATAAGTTTGATTCGATCCATAAAATAGGTACAAACATAACGCCTTGTTGTGGCTTTTTCTTTTCTTAGGAAATTGTCCTCAGAATGTCTTGACGTGATCTTGAAACTCGTCCGTCCCGTTTTGTTTATTGTCCGGGCTGTGAATTTGTCCTGAAGAGGCAAACTCTTACTGTGGAGAGTCTTTATACATTGACATAATCACACCGTCATTCCTCTCCACCGTCCCAAATATCATGACCAAAAAAGTAAAAATATATATATGATACTACATAATTGAAAAATAATTTAGAATAAAAAAGAATTAAATAAAGGATTTTAAATTAAATTGAATGAATAAATTAAAACAAAAATATTAGGATCAGATATTGAAATAAAATAAAATAAGAAAAAAAAAATCTAACAAATAATTAAAAAAAACTAAATTGAAACAAAAAAAATCAAATTTAGAATTTAAAATAGAAAAAATAAAAAGCAAACTATAAACAACCAAAATTAAACTAAAACAAACAACTTGGAATAAAATTAAAAGAAATTAACTTAAATAATAATAAATTAAATTAATTAAATAAACTTAATAAAAACGCAATTAAACAGACAATCGAAAACAAAATAAAAAATAATTTAAAACAAACAGAATGAGCCAAACAGTTCACATTAAACACATCTCAGAGCACCCAGTAGTTTTATTCTAACTAAATGTTGTGTTCAAAGAAAAGCAGCTTTAACTTTGCATATTTCTGAAGCAGCAGCTGCTCGTTGATGTAATGATCAACGTGTTGCACTCGTCTTAATGGACGTTTTTCTATCGTGTTCATTTTAAAGTCGACAACAAACAGCCGAGAGTCTTTTCTTTTCACAGTTTGCCTCTTACAGCTCCTTGGACATCTTTTGAACGATTTTATTTGTCAAAAAGCTTTTTTAGTCTTCTAGAGTTTTACCACTGATGATATTTTAGTTCAGCGTGAAAACAAAAACCAACCAAGCTCTCAGCCTCGAGGCAGACGATCGTCCACAAGCCTTGATTTTCATATTTGAGTTCCTCTGATAGCTGCTATGTGACAGAACTGATGTTTTCGGGTTTCTTTGACGTGAAATCTGTTTTTCTTTGTCAGGAAACGGCGAACAGGGGAAGCCGTTCCCGCTGACGGACGCCGACCGGGTCGACCAGGCCTACAGAGAAAATGGATTCAACATCTACGTCAGCGACCGGATCTCCCTGAACCGCTCCGTCCCGGACATCCGCCACCCCAAGTGAGTCCAGTTGGTTCATATGTGGAGGAACCCAACAGAACTTGTGACTTCTCAGACATTTAAACTGGACCAAGAAGGTTGTTGTTCCACTTAAAGGTTCCTCAAAGTGCTTATTGGTTCCCTTTTGGAGAAATCTTAAGATACCAACTGATTTCTACTGTCACAAAACATGCATTACAATTAGAAGAATAGAATAGAATAGAATAGAATAGAAAAATACTTTATTTATCCCAGGCCTGGGAAATTACTGAACAGGCATTAGACAGAATTATGCACATTTAATCACACCAGGATATATATTGTTTATTCTTCTTTTTTTTCCCACTTTTATTTTATTATTTTTTTATTGATTTACTTTTGTAATTTGACACTCTCACTATTCCATATATATAATTTAAATAAAACAAATAAATAAAAAAATATTTTAACAAATACTTAAAATAAAATAATTTAAAATAAAAATAAACAAACAAAAAAACACATTACAGTCCACATAAAATTGCTTTAAAAATAATTTAAAGTGAAACAAAAAGAGGATTAATCATGCAACTACACCCTTTAATGATAAACCTCATAACGTTTATCTGCCAATACGGTCTCACCTTCAACCAGGACTCTCTAATGGTTCAGTGAGATGTTGATTTTCCAGCAAAGCTCCGACGTGTTCTTGATTTTCATCCCGTTTCCGTCGACCATCAGTCATTTTTATTTAGGAAAAAAAACGCTTCCTTTTTCAGATTTCCACCAAACTGCTCGGTAACCTCTGGCGCCGCCGCTGTTTTTTCTTACCAAATAAATAAATGTTCTGTGTGTGTGTGTGTGTGTGGTTTGCGAGCCCGAGTGGGTTCAGGAGTTGGAGGTCCACGAGGGCCGAGAGTCTGCAGGTTTTCATTCCAGCCAAAGACTGCAGCAGGTTATTTCACAGATTGGCACTCCATCAAGCGGAGAGGAAAAATGAATCACCTGCTGCAGCCGTTAGTCGGATTGAAAACCTGCAGACTCTCAGGCCTCCGCGGCAGATGGTTGTTGTTCCCCCCCAAAAAAAAAAAAAAAATAATAAGTGTGACCGTCGGATGTGAGGGAGGCTGGCCCGGGTGGAGGTGTAACGTGGGAAACGTGACTCAGAACCAAACAGCTGATACCTTTCTGCAGGATGTGAGCAGCGTGTTTGAGATGTGGGTGGTAGAATCCAGTAGAAATGTTCTTTTGTTGTTTGCTCTTTGCATGTGTTGGCAGCAGTTTACATGCACGAGTCCCCACGAGTTCAACATGTTTCACTGCTGTCGTCTGCGTTTTGTGCAGAGCCACGCTGGACAACGTTGTCTTTCAGTTTCTGGACATTAATTCTTCATTTTGCATTCAGATTTTGCAACGACTTCCCTCTAAACTCTCTCCAGTTGCTCCTGCTCGGTGCGAATCTGCACCTCAGTCCGTCAAAGCATTTGGATAATTAGTTTTTAAACCATCGTGCGTCTTTCACAGAGTCCTTTCAACTCCTATTAGTTAAACATTCACCCTGTGTTCCTGTGTGATGTCTTCCTGTCTTTTTTCTTTTTCTGTTGCTTCAGGATTTCATCAGGTCAAAACTTGAGACTTAAATGTTTTTGCTTTCAAGTCTCACAACAGTCAAGGATCATGCCGAGCCCTCTGCCAGGTTCCTCTCTGAGTTATCAGAAAACATGGAGCTTCTTTCATCAATAGAGTAAAGTGGTCTATTAGTTTTTTAGAATGTTATTTATTCATCTCACCTTCAGATTTTCAAAGCTTTCCCTCCAGACTCTGCCTCTTTCTCAAATGGCCTCTGAATGAAAAGTAAATTTGCTTAATTTCCGTGTCGGATCAAGGACCAGAGGGAAGTTCAATCTGGTCATTCTTTCGGCTTCTGCTCATAGCTTTCAGCTTCGGTTTGATGCAAACTTCTGCTCTCAGAACAACTCAGGCAACAGTTACCAACCAACAGAAGAACGCCGGGTTGGTGCTGATCAGTGAATTTTTTGTGCACATCGCTGAGCTTTATTGACATTTGACAGCAATAAATACGTCTTTACCAGGTAAATCTGCAGACGTAGTGGAAGTTCTGGACGATTTGGTGGATCCATAAACCGTAGACGTCCAGAAAAACAGGCAACAGGAAGCTGTGCTTAAAATAAAATAATGCATACACTCGAATATGTATTAATCCCACAGTGGGGGAATTCGCATTGTTACAGCAGCAAAGGGGAAAGTGCAAACATTCAGGGAATATCAGTAGAAAAATACAATTAAAAACAACCTAAATATACATAAATACCAGTTCTGATTATCCAAATATCTCTGCATGGAAATCACAAAATTGTACATATTAATGGTGCTGCACAGGAGTAAAGTACATTCATGAAGGCGTGGAGGGCAGCAGTGGATGAACCCGGTTACCTTTAAGGTGAGAACTAAAGGGAAGTGTTAGGCATCAAACCTGGTAATCGATTAATTGGTGACGTTCAACAGAGTTGTCCAAGAAAGACGAAGCAGTTCAGTCCTTCCAAGACAAAAAAAAGACGCTTTAAAAGTTTGGATGTAAAGTCGTGGTGCAGGTCTTAGCAAAAGGACGTTTTTAGAAGAAAATTTTCCTTTTAAATAAGTAGATTTGTGCAGCGACTGTCTTTGTGAAACACTTCTGAGCAGAGACTTCCACCTGAACACGAGCTGCTGGAGAAAGAGACCGTCTGGAGGGAAGGCATTAAAAATCTGAACGCAAAATGAAAGAAATAATGTTGTGAAATTGAAAGACCACTTTAACTCTGTGGAATAAAGATAAGAAGGTAACGCCGTGTTTCTCTGATAACTCGGAGAAGAACCTGGCAGAGGCCTTGACATGATCCTGACTGAGACTTGAAAGTAAAAAAAAACATTTAAGTCTCAAATTTTGACCTGATGAAATCCTGGAGCAATAGAAAAAGAAAAAGAGACAGCAACAGGAAGACATCACATCAGAACACAGTGTGAATGTTTAACTAAATAGGAGTTGCGAGGACTCTCTCTCAGCCGTGAAAAACAGAACGGTTGGAAAACATCCAAATGCTGTGATGATCTGAACTGAAGGACTTGGTTTGACAGATGTAAACAGTTCCCTCCACATTGAGTGTTGAAGGCGGCCAACAGGACAGTCCAGGTCCCACCGAGCTCTCCTCGCAGCATATTGTTGACTCCTGGTTCTGTCCCAGCTCGTTACAAAAGGCGCCAGTTGTTGTAATTATCAACCTGCCCGGCCGATTCACAGGAGACGCGTAGCTTCACACCGACACCCACGTAGCGGCCGCGTTCTCCACAGCAATTATCGGTGTCGCTGACGTTCCCCCCGGCACTCGATGTGCGAACGAACGACGGCAGGCGTGTGCCGAGGCAGCTTGTGTTGTGGCTGCAGTGGTCCAGGGTCACTTTGATTTAGAGGATGTTTGGTTGTTCCACGGAGGTCACAGCTGAGGAGACGTAAAGCTTTCTTAGCCCTGCTGATGACGACTCCACCACGACGGTTCCATGGAATGAGTTTTGTAGTTTCAGTCGGGGGTCATTCAGACCTCCTCAGGAACACGAATGTATTCAGCGGCTACATTTCCTGCTTTCAGGACACCTTATGTGCAACGTCTGGCCTCAAGTTTGCAGGAAGCTACATAAGCTTAGAAAAGGTGTTGAAACAGGTCAACGAATTTCATGGCAAAGTCATAAGTAGCTTTGACCTTCCATTGAGGTGGGAGTTTTTATTCGGTCGAGGAGATTTTCAGTAAATTTCTCAGAGAGGTGTTTGCTGATTAAGGATGTTAACGATTATTCGATAACTGCTGGTAATTAATTCCACCAATTAAAATAAATCGACCGACGAGGCAAAAGAAGGCCGTGCATCTCAGAGAATGTATTGTAGATTAGCTGTAACACCTCTTTGTTTACTGTTTAGTACAGTAGTGACCAGAGGGAGGCGGCTACGTTGGCAAGCAGAGAGCATTGTGGGAGTTTAGCT